TGTGTTAAATACAGGGTATCGCACCGTGGGGTGTGTGTGTGTGTGTGTGTGTTAAATACAGGGTATGCTGGTAAATACAGGGTATCGCACCGTGGGGTGTGTGTGTGTGTGTGTTAAATACAGGGTATCGCACCGTTGTGTGTGTGTGTGTGTGTGTGGTAAATACAGGGTATCGCACCGTGGGGTGTGTGTGTGTGTGTGTGTGTGTGTTTGTGTGTGTTATCGCACCGTTGTGTGTGTGTGTATCCTGCAATGAGTAAATACAGGGTATCGCACCGTTTTGTGTGTGTGTGTGTGTGTGTGTGTGTGTCCTGCAATGAGGTATTAAAAAACTTTTATTTTGTGAAATATGTTCAGTGATTTCACCTTAATCATCCAGAGCAGTGCAACAAACAAGGGATTTCTAAAATCTTACCTCCTGCAACCCACCAAAAAAAAAAAAGAAAGAAAGGCGTCCATTGTTGTTTTTATCTTCACAGGCCAAACAAAATGTAATGAACTCCTTTTGAAACACAAGAACTTCTCAGAAATGCTAAGTACAACTGGTAGCCACTTAATAAAAAATTGAAACCAATTATTCAAAGGAACAGATTGAATTAATACCTATTATTAACTACGCTGGTCCCACTTCGACCATACAGTTCCAGGCTTTAGTTCCAGGGAACTTCAAAAAATGCATGGAAAAATGGAATGAAAAGAATGGGATTTTCCCGCAAACTTTTTGAACCTCCATTGTACAATTAAGGGCTGGATTCAAGGTCCTTGCTGTCCTCTATCTGTGCTAGACAGACCACAGTCAGCAGATGATCAGAGAGCTGGTTACAGACTCTGATGAGTGCAATAAGGCACGTGAGATGGGACAGGTGGGAGAGAAACAGGAAAGGCCTCTCTGAGATCACAGGTGAACTCAGAACACGAGGAGGAAGTAGCAGTCATGCAGATGCTAAGCATTCACAGTGAGGGGTGAGCAAGAACAAAAGGTCCAATCACAGAAAACATACCTGGCACGTGAGAGGCACCAAGGCCAGTCGCTGGAGAGCAGAGAGCATGGGGTGATCGCTGAGAGATGAAGTCGGGCAGGTGAACATGCGCCAGGTCACCGCAGGCTATGCATCAGGCAATGGGAAGGGTTTGAATACAGCAGCAGAAGCCACACTCTGATTTAGATTTTTAAAGGGCCAATGAGGCTGCTGTGTGAAGCAGTGGTCACAGACAGCAAAGGTGGAAGCAGCCAGGGCAGTTAGGAGGCTGGTGTCTAAAATCAGGTAACAGCCCCAGAGACATCAGCAGTGGAAGAACATGGAATGTAGTTTGGGATGTGAGGCTTCTGACCTGTTGATAGATTGGATGGGGGAGGTGGAGCAGTGAGAGGAGGAGAGGAACCAAGGATGCTTCCAAGTGCATTAACGCACGGAAAGAAAGTAAGTTCTCTGAGCAGTCGTGGCACCTGAGGACACAGAGAGGCTCCTCGAATTTGGCAGGAGAACCCTACTGGAATACAGGGACCCGTTCATGACCCAGAGTGTGTCACTGGGAAGCAGGGGAACTGGGCTCAGGTCTGACTCCTCCTTCCTGCTTTTCGCTCTTGAGCCAGGCATTTCTTACGTGCCTAGGGAAGAGCCTGCCAGCGGCCCTCATCAAATGCTGTTTCCATTGCACAAGGGGGCCAAGCCCTATAGTCAATCTTACGCTACGCATTTCAATCATTGTTGGTTTCCAGATCAGTAGTGTTAACATTTTACGGCTAGAAATGAAATAGCACATGTGCGTACACACACACACACACACACACACATACACACGGCTGAAATGACCTTTAACAACTAGTAAATCAACTATGTCACTCTGTCAGGGTCCAGAAATATTTCATGATATAAAATGCTTCCATTCCGTTTTAGGAACAAAAGAAACGTTTTCAGTTCTTGCAATGCTTTCTTTAAAACAGTGCTGGGTGGAGTACACCACTGCATTGCCAAGTTCGGCTGTGGCTTTCATCCAGTATAGTACTGAGTCGAACTGAGCAGAACCACCCGTGGCCCGACCCAGGGGATGGCCAGCAGATGGCAGTCTGCAAGCAGAATGGAAGGCCAAGAAGGCTTCCAGCCTTGGTCTCCAAGGAGCCTGCATGGCTCCGGCCCCAATCTCAAGAGTCTGCAGAACTATAGGATCGCTTGTTTGAACACTGCTCTGCTTACGCACCATCACATCTAGGATCTGGGTCAAACAGACCTGAGTTCTCACACTAGCTAACTGCCTTTAAGGCCAGTGCCTTAGCCCATAAGCCTCACGCTGTCCGATGCGAAATAAAGCTGGGGCTCATATGTACACTTTATTGGGCTGTTTGAAAGATAACAACGGCATACTGCATGTCAGGCATTCGGTATGATGTGTAACACATACTGTTGACTGTTATTAATAAGTAGTTCACTAGCGGGGTTTCCTTCCATGTTAAGTACTGTTATATGGCTCTAAGGAGGTTCCTCAGAGGCAAGGATGGCAAGACTATGTCTTACAAACTTTGGACATACTGTCAGGAGAGACCAGTCCCTGGAGATGGATAACGGAAGGGGGGAAGAGGAAGTTCCTCAACAAGATGGACTGACACAGTGGCTGTAACAATGAGCTTAGACACAGGAACAGGTAGGGCTTCGTTCTGGCGTGCACAGGGTCATTATGCGTCAGCACCGATTTGATGGTACCTAACAGCAACAACATGGCTCAATGGCTGGAAGGTTACCAAGGTCGAGAGGAAAACTGCCCAGCACCCCCTCCGAACATAGCTATCACTATTAAGTTCAGGCTCCCCAGTGAGTTGTTAGACAGTCCCAAACTGCTTTCAAAAACAACTATCAATTAAAAGTATGACAGTATCAATTTCTGACCATTCAAAACGGCTCCTCTTTAATTTGGAGGTACATATGCTCAGCACTCAAGAACTAAAAACGGTTCTCATTCTCAGAGTGATCATTAGGACTACAGATTGGTATTGGAGGATCACCCTTGCCACTCTAGTCTCCTAAGCAATAGGCTTATCTCCGACACGTAGGGAAGAGCTACTGAGCTACACTGGCCTTGCTGAAATTGCTCCTTTGCCTAGAAAGATGAAAGTCATTCGGCTTAACTCTCAACAAGTTTTAACAAATGTTTCACAGGTGCTAGGTAGATCTTCAAGAAGCCCTGGTGGTGTGCTGGGTTATGCACTGGCCCACTACCCTCACGGTCAGCAGTTCAAATCCACTAGCTGTTCTGCAGGAGAAAGATGAGGCTTTCTGCTCCTATAAAGCACGACAGCCTCAGAAGCCCACGGAGCAGTTCCACTGTCCCATGGAGCCGATATGAGTCAGAACTGACTCGACAAAAGGGAGTGAGAGGTATATCTATCTCCAAGTATGCAAAACGATGCTGTGGGAGGCTTTTGAAATAGTCTTATATAAGCCTTTCTTGAATGTAATTCAGAATTTTCTCCCCAAGCCTCCTCCTAAGTTTTCAAGCTTTAAAAAGGCCAAACAGGGTGATGCTTCCCCTTAGGATGTACACAATGAGTGACCTCACGCAAATATTTGTGTACATGAGCATAAGAAGCGTACATCTGTACATCACATACATGTAATACTAAACATGATACTTGTGATTGCAGAACTACGTCAAACTCATAATCCCCATGAAACAGAAATGTTGGATCTAAACAAGAGCTTCTGCACCATCCCTAGTCCGACTTCTCTTTGTCAGGAGCGGAAATAAAGTCCCAAGGAAGTAAATGACCAGGTTGCAGAACTAATCTACGGCCCGCAGATTCTGAGCCCAGACCGTGTGCTTCTCAATCCAAAGCTTTTCCACGACACGGAGTTTCTTCTCTATGAAGATATGCGAGGTCGGGTTACTTAGTTGGCTCTCGCGCATGGCAGCCCTAAGTGTGGCAGAAGAGAAGCACTGCTGGGTTCTGTGCCCCCTTCAGGATCAGTGGCCCGTTGGGAGTCCATTGTTGCCCGCACTGGGTCAATCAGGCTCATTCGGAGCTTGCCTCATTTGCATAAATGCCTAGTTATGGAGAAACACCAATTGTGCAAAAATAGGCACAAGTGCTGCTATCAAAATAAACCACCTTATATCTGCATTTCGCCGCAAGGTGTACAGAAGTGTTCTGCTGATAACTGCCTGCTGATGCCAGCCCTTTTACAAAGAAGAGATTGTTAACCAAATAAGTAGTTTGTCCCTGGGCTTTGGAGACAACTAGGCTCTTCATTTCCTGGGCGTGTGACCTTCGTAACATAGCCCTAAGCTCTGTGCCCATTTCAAGATTAATCAAGTGAAATTTCATTTACACTTGCAGGGTTTCTGAGAGAATGATACTAAGTGCAATGCCTACCACATAGCAAACACCCAATAATAGCGAATGTTATTACTGCTATAACATATCGTGGTTATTAGTGATGTTCTATGCCTGGCAGACATGGGTCTGAAACTCCATCTCTGCCTTCCAGGCCTTGCCCCCTTCTGCAACAGTTTAGGGCATTACAGAACACTGGTACCGCTGCGAGCAATGCATTGAGCTGACCACAAGGTACGCGGTTCAAACCCACCAGTTGCTCCGCAGGACTCCTACAAACATTAACAGTCTCAGAAACTAAGAGGGGGTGTGTGTGCAGTTCTATCCCGTCTAACACGGTTCATGAATCGGAAGCAACTCGTTGACAGTGAGAGGGAGAGGCAAAAAAATACCGGTGCTCTAGCTGCTCCACAGGAAAATGAAAAAGGTGAACCAGTCGACTTTGTGAGGATTTGGAGTCTCATGAACTAGGCTTTGAGGGCAGTTCTGCTCTGTCCCGGGGGCAGCTAAGGGTGGAACCGAGGCGACAGCATTTACAGGGCGAGGGGCAAGGAGGCGGAATGTACCTGAAAAGTCGAGTGCAGTCAGGCACTTTAACAAGCTGGGGGTCGCCCTGAAGCCAGGTTCCCTCGGTAAATTGAAATGCAGAGAGATTCTGATCAGCTATCGAGCTTTCCTGCCGCCGTTTCAGTTCAAGCCAAGAGGTGGCCCCTTCCCCGAAGGTACCTAGTGCCGGGCCGATGCTACCTGGTGCCGGCTGCAACCTGCAGCCACGTCCGTTGAGGGCCTACCTGACACCGACGGGCCAGAGGAGGGCAGATGACCACGGCGGTGACAGGTTCCCACCCTGCTACCATGACCTAGGTCGCTTGCAGACCCGGACCAGATTCCACCGGCGACTCCGAAGTGACGTTGCAGCAGCATGAGCCATCCTCGCAGCCTATTGGTCGCTGCTGTCCAGTAGGCGGGGCGGCGCATGACACTACGGATCCGGTAGTCCCGCCTTTCCTGTGTCTCCGCCCCTTAGCTTTGCCGTCTCCACGGTGACCGCTACCGGTCACCCACTTGGCTTCCGCGTCCGGAGTTGCGTCACTTTCTAGGCGCCGGTAGCGACGGTTCCGCCTCTGGACGGGGCGGCAGCGCCCTGCCGGCTGGTGGCGGAACAAACTAGCCTGGCGAAGGCGGCGTGAGACAACTGGGGCGACCGCCCACCTGTGGCCCCGGTGATCATGGCAGTGTTCCATGACGAGGTGGAGATCGAGGACTTCCAATACGACGAAGATTCGGAATCATATTTCTACCCCTGCCCGTGTGGGGATAACTTCTGTATCACCAAGGTAACGTGCAGAGGCCCGCCCAGAGCCGGCGCGAGTTGGGTCGGCTGAGCTTTTTCTGCCGCTCCGTCGCTGTGGAGACTCTGGGACACCCATGCTCTCTGTTTATCCTATTTCTGAGGCCGCCCAGTTTATATGCTCCACGATCCGGACGTGTGCACGCGCATCGTGCTGGCCGCCCAGCAGTGCGGGGTGGGGATACGGAACGTCCTTCCTGGGATTCTTTTTTGGAAGATGGGGCGCGTTGTTGCCTCTCCAGGGGTTTGAGCCCATCTTCCCGGGCTTGTGTGACGCTTTAGGGGAAATGGTGTTGGTCTTTCTCGCGGTGGTCTCTCCTGTCCGTCCTCCGCCCTGGGTCGGAGGCAAGCCCCAGTGGAATTTGTACATACAAGTGGGAGGGGTGTCGGGAGAAGATGGAGACTGGAAGACTGCTGACCACATGGTGTCTGATTTTGTTTTAGGAGGATTTGGAGAATGGGGAAGACGTGGCAACGTGTCCTAGCTGTTCTCTCATTATAAAAGTGATTTATGACAAAGTAAGGACGCTAATGACAGAAGGAGGGGGGGGGGTTGTAAGGCGTGGCAGAGACGTTACCATGACATGAATATTTTGTAATAGTATTAAGTAAAGTCCTGGTGTTTTAAACAAAAACTTTTAAGACATTAATAAACAGCCTTCTTGTAAGTTAAAGGTTTAAAGTTAACTTGCCTAGAGTATTACCTCAATTAGTCTAATGAAAAATGTATTACTTACTAAATAAGTTAAAACATAATCTTAACAATCCATTGCTGTCAAGCCGATTCCAACGCTTAGCAACCCTATTGGACAGAGTAGAGCCACTCCACATTGGGCTGCTAACTCAGGGTCAGCAGTTTGAAACTAGGATCCTCCCTTTGGGAGAAAAATGAGAGTAGCTGTGGGTTCCAGCCACAAAACTTTTTTTTGTTTATCAGGGAGCACTGTGCCACTGAGACCCCTGCAATTGCTTATTAAGTGGAAGAAAAATAGTTATGAAGATTATTTGACAACCTTTATAATTTTCTAAGAATCCCTGGTAGTATAAAAAGCTGCTGTTTTTATAGGGTCTTGTGAGTTGGAATTGACTTTTTTTTTTAATTTGTGAATTAGATGGCAGTTTACATTTCAGATGATCATTTTTTTACTCAACAACAACTTATCACATTTCCCAATCTCCCTGTCACATACTCCCTTTTTAACTCCTAGACTGTTTTCTTCCACTTCTTCCTAGTTAGCACCTGTCTACTCCAGCCTATCGCTTCCTCTTCCCTCCTTTTCCCTCCCCGCCTCAGTAACTATCAAAGGGTGTTTCATTTGATAGGAAAAACTTTGTCTTGGTTTTTTGTTTTATAATCATGGTCTCATACAATATTTGCCCTTTCAAGATTGATTAACCTCTCTCAGCATGTCTTCCAAATCCATTCATGTCATGAGGTCTTTAACAGTTCTGTCATTATTATTTAGTAATGCCTAGTATTCTGTTGTGTGGGTTGAAATAAACTACGGCCATGGGTTTGGCTTGGTTTTCTTATACCTTAAAGAACCCTGGAGGTGCAATGGTTAAGTGTTCAGCTACTAACTGTCGAAAAGTCCGCAGTTGAAACCATTAGCAAACCACAGAGAAAAGACCTAGTAGTCCACTCTCAAAGAGTACAGACTTGGGAACACTGTGAGGCAGTTCTACTTTGTCCTGCAGGCTCACTCTGAGTTGGAAGCTGAAGAGAACAACTATGTCGTTTTTCTTGCCTGTGCCGCCACTTGTCATCACGTATGTTTCAACTTGTGGTTGCCTCACGTATGTTTCAACTTGTGGTGTGCTTCATAGAGTTGTAAATGGCTGGGGATTTGTGTGGTGGGGGGAGGGTGTGGGGACTGTGAAATTTGTTAGCGGCTGTCAAGTTGATGCCACCTCATGGCCACCCTGTGTGTGCAGAGTAGAAACAGGATTGTGTGCCGTCGGGTTTTCATGGTTGTGACTTTGCAGAAGCAGATCGCCAGGCCTGTCTACTGAGGTGTCTCTAGATGGGACTTAGCTCTTGGCCTTTCAGCTAATAGTTGAATGTTTAACTGTTTTCGACCCCCAGGGTTGCCCTGATTAGTGCACATCACACACACACACACACACACATATACACACACACTGTGCCGTCAAGTCCATTCCGACTCACAGCAACCCTGGATACCGTTTCCAAGACCATAAGTCTTCATGGAAGTAAGCAGCATCATCTTTCTCCCACAGAGCGGATGGTGGGTTTGAACTGCCTACCTTGCAGTTAGCAGTCTAGGGCTTAAATGACAGCGGCACCTTAACTCCTTGGTATATACATAGATTCTCCACTATCCTTTTTAAAAAAAATAGAATTCAGTTGCTCTTTTACAATATCATTTCAGTGTGAATTAACGGCTTCTGATCACAGAAAACAAAATTAATGTCATCATTGCCAGCTACACTCCCAATTTCTGGTCTGCTACGGTATGGAGGTTTACAAAACTATATACTAAATAAAGCTTAAGATACTTAAGATTGAATTCTACAGGGAGTTTGTGAGGGATGGCAGAGAGCCTCTTGGGAGAAGTGGGTTAATCCAAACCATAATTTAGACACTGAATGGTTGGTTCCTTTATTTTTCCACTTAACTAGCCTGGGCTGTGGACCAGATAGCGTTCGTTCAGTTTGTTTCAGTGAGCCAACGAGACAAAATTACGACCATTATGGGACTTAGAATCTAGAGGGGGAGTGGGAGGAGGAGACAGACAAACAAGCAGACTAAGTAAATGACGCGTTGTTTATATCAAGTCAAATGTGCTTTAACAAATAGAGAATAGGGTAAGTGAGATCAGGAGTTTTGGGCTGGGAGGAGACCAGGGTGTAGGTTGCAATTTCAAATACGTCTGAGCAAATATTTGAAGGAGGTGAGGGAGAGGGCCAGGCACCCAGGGTCAGCAGGGCAGTATCCAACCAAGGGACATTCACTGGAAAAGCCCTAAGGCAGGAAGAGGTGAGGTTTTTTTCATAGCAACAGCAAAGATGCCTGTTATCTTGTCAGTTTTTACCCAGAGCCATCTTCTGTGAAGCTGTCTGTTCCCATAAAGCATTACTCTCAGAAACCCTCAGGACAGCTCTACTCTCTCCTGTAGGCTCTCTGTGAGCCGGTATAACCAGAGCAGAGTCAGTGAAGGTGAGAATAGTCGAAAGTGAAATCAAGGCGTGGGGCAGATCATCTCAAAGACGTTTGTGGGCCACTTTAAGGACTTTGGCTTATGCTGGGAATGGTATAGGGAGCTGTACTCAGGGTTTATGCATACAAGTGCGCCCTAACCTGACTTGAATTTTACGAAGATGGGCCTGGTGCTCTGCTGAGGGAGGAAGGATAGAAGCAGAAAAATCAGCAGACTCTTAAACTAATCAAGGAAGGAAAGGAGATGGTGGGGGAACCTTTGGATTCTGGATACTTTTTGAAGCCTGAGGGTTTTATTACTCATTGGAGTTGGGATGTGAGAGGAGTCAAGGAAGAGATCAACGTTGATGGCCTTCGTATTGGAAAGATGAAGAGGGAGGTAACTACAAGTGTGGGTGATGGAAATAGGGTGACCAAGAGTAGGGGTTTGTGTTGAACCTTGTAAAGTGGAGAAGTCTATTTGTTATCTTAGTGGTGCTCTTGGATAGGCAGTGGAACATACAAGTCTGCCGTCAGGAGTTAACAGATTACACATGCAGGGCCCCGACAGCTTGACGGAGGGACCTTCCTCCAGGGTCAGTAGATGACAGCTATGCTGGAGGGGGTTAGAAAAGAGAGAGGGAGAAAGGTGGCAGCAGGTCTCCCCCTCCTCCCCTGACCACCCCCACCCCCGACCCCACCTCCCCAGCCCTGTAGTATCAGAGTTCAGAACAGAGGCACCATTTGAGAGATGTAGGGAAGCCGTGTTCCAGGGGATATCTGCACCTCAACTTCAGCACTGCTGACATCGGGAGCTGGGTAACTGTTGTATGGGGAAATCTACAAGGAGCTTCAGTAGGCCTATGAAGACAATAAATGCCACCAGGGAGCCCCTGTAGCGTAGCATGGTGTAGCGTAGTAGGCTGAAGAAGATTGAACTGCCAACCACAAAGTCAGCAATGTGAACCCACCACTGTCTCCATGGGAGAAAAATGGAGCCATCTGCTCTCACAAGGGTACGTTCTCGGAAACCCAAAGGGGGCAGTTCACTCCGCCCTGTAGGATCCCTGTGAATCAGAAGCAACTTGAGGGCAGTGGGTTTGGGTTTTTAGAAAATACATTAACCATTAGTTTTTCGAACAACCGTATACATTGTGGGATCTTTAGCCACCTCCCCAGCCCCTGCCCACTAAGTGCCTGCTCCCTAGTTAGGACCAGCAGAATGTCCCAACCCAAAAGAAGACAAACCCACTGTTGAGTCGATTCCCACTCACAGACACCACATAAGACAGGAGAACGGCCCTTCGGGTTTCTTAGACGAATTCTTTCCGGGAATAGAAAGCCTCAAAGCCTCATCTTTCTCCTATGGAGCAGCTGTTGGGTTCAAAGTGCTGACCTTGAGGTTGGCAGCCCCATGCCCAACTCCCACTACAAATTCAAGGCTCCTTTAGAAATGTCCCCAGACATTGCCACATGTTCCAGGATGTTAGGAAGGGGGAGGACAGCAGAGGCCCCCTGGTGCTGATCCACACCAGACATTTTGTTGCCAGTAGACCAGGAATCCCAGGTGCTGTTCCAGAGTGAAAGAAAGGGGGCCCCTATTCTGTTAAATTTCTAAAGATTGAAGTAAAGAAGTTTTAGTGATCAATCCAGAGATTTAAAAGATCTGACATGCTCTTTAAATGTGATCTTAAGAAATGGGTGCTCTTACTGAAGATGGGAAAGTTTATGTATAAAATAAGGTCAAAACAAAACACTCAAACCCATTGCCATCGAATCCATGCCCACACACAGCGGCCCTAGGGGGCAGGGTGGAACTGTCCCTGTGGGTGTCCGGGACTAACTCTTTCCCGGAGTCCACAGCCTCGTCTTTCTCCCAAGGAGTGGCTAGTGGTTTCCAACTGCTGACCTTGCAGCTGGCAGCCCAATGCATAACCACACCCCAGCTCCTATCAGAAAAGTGCTGTGGAATAAATAGGAATTCAGGACTAAACAGTAACACCCTTGGACTCAGGTGCTGACATTGACTGAATAAGGACGTAGTGGCACAACTTAGAGCGGTTAAATTAACAGAGCTCTAGTGATTCTGTGCCAAAATGGGAGTTCAATAGTGATGCATTTGTGACATGAAAACTCAGCAGTTAATGTCATTTCTCATTCTGTCTTAGGATCAGTTTATGTGTGGGGAGACCGTCCCGGCCCCTTCCACCAACAAAGAATTGGTTAAATGCTGATGCAGGACTTGGGGAATGAACCAAGATGGAAAAACCAAATGCCAGTTGCAGTTACCAGCCTCTTCTGCGAACGGTGTTGTTGTGGCTTGCTCGACTTATCGACTGTGGGTTCTTTCCCTCAAGGGCTGTGTTCATCGCCAATTGAAGAAGCCAGCCATGGCATGATGGGTTTCGTTTTCTCGCTCGTAGCTGAATTGCAAATGTTCTCAATAGCATCTACCTCAAAGTCATCCGTGGTCTTTAACTAAAAAGGGATTGTCCTTTTGGCTTAGTAATTAAGACTATTAAAATTAGCCTTTCCTTTGAAATTTGACATCACCTTTCCTGTTCTAAATTTAAAGAATATTTGTTTCCTCAGCAGGACTGCACTTTTCTGTTGCTGCACCAAGCTAGCCTCCTTAGTTCCATCCTCCTTACAATAGTCACTGTCTGCAGAGTGCCTTGGCTTTTGTACTTCCTGTGTGGAGGGCTGGGCATGATATTCCCCACGCCCACTACTGTCAGGTTGATGCGAGGACAGAGTAGGACTGCCCAATAGGGCTTCTAAGGCTGTAATCTTTACATAAGCAGACGGCTGCCTCTTTCGCCCACGCTGTAGCTTGTGGATTTGAACCCCTGACCTTTCTGTTAGCCGTTAACTATGCACCACCAAGGATCCTATTAAAAGAAAATACAGTGAGCTCATGATTTCTCCAGAACTAAAACTTAGTTGAATAAGAAAGAAAAGTCCAAAGTGAAATGATGAAAGACCATGGAGTGTTCTTGTCAATGGTCCGTAAGTTTTTAAAAATCAAGACAAGATAAAAAGACAAGCAGCCAAGGGGAGAAAGAGGAAGGTGCCCATGGAGTGAGTGAACTGCTGAGTAGTCCTGACAGATCAGGGCAAGTGATATTTCTGTGTCTGGACTTTTTTCCTTGCTTTTTTTTTTTCCCCAAGAAAGCTAATGAAGCGGTACTGCAGCTGGAGGTTAATGTATTTATAGCTGGTGGGAGTGCGTTCAGAAATGTTAGGTTATTCCTCATAAAAGGTGGAGCACCTATAATGACTTAATGTTAAGATGAGCTTGAAAAACAGGAGGCCTTTTCTGAATAAATAGATCATGGAGGGCACAGTTAATGGACCACAATTACAATTCACAGCCAAACCAGACATAAACTCAGATAAATAGAAATTCAAAGAGGCCACCAGCCTGCCTTCCCCACAGTGATGAGAGAGTAGTAAAAAATAAATTGTATCTGGAAATCTGAAAATTACCTTTATGCTATGTATACATTTGTGTGGTTTTTTTTAAAAGTTTGTTTCTGCGTTATCGTCTAGCACGCTGTTAGGGAAAGACTCCTGCAACCAGAGAGGAAAATGGCTTTTGCCAGAATGTGAACATTCTGTAATGGATGGATAAATGCGGTGCCCACACTCTGTGGGGGAGGGCTAAATTAAAGCAAGTGTTGACCTTTTTTTGCCTTGCCAGCAGCATGGCTGCATTTAGCCGTTAGGCTGAGACAATAGATCATTGGAAGTGGTATGCTGGAATGCTTGGGACATTACAAGAAGCATCTTCTGACATATTGATGGGATGAGAAATCGCATTGCTACGTGGGACACTGACGCGCAGAAGGAGTCTACAGCTGCTCTGCTGAAGCTGTTGGGACCGGTGACTGTTCAAATGGACCAGCAGCATGAATGATGACGAACTGGAATGAGCCGTAAAGAGAAATGAGCTCAAATGCTAATGGTTTTGTGGTGTGATAACGTGTTTTTTCCGCGGATGTGAATTCCACACAAGAAGAAGCACCCTCAGTGTTCATCTATTCTGAGCTTCAAATGGGAAGAAAAGTTGCCCCCGACTCAGCGTGCCCGGAGAGAAGCATAAACGATGGGAATGGTGTGGGTCTCCACAGCATCCACGTCACCAAGTCTGTGGATCACGAACAAGACCCTGCCAAGCTTCACTCAGTCCCTTGTTAAGCAGAAAGTGAAACCAGGGTCTCGAGATGGGAACTGCAGGGGCTTCGTTAACTGTTTTTGGTGCACCTCCCTCTGATTTATAATCCAAGCTCTGTCTCCTGCTGGTGTTTGTGAGCCTTGGCAAGGCTGGTGGACCCGTCATCTGTCCCATTAGTGGCCTGGATCAGGTGGTTTCCAAGCTGTGAGTTCTGTCTTGTTGCCAGCTTGCAGAAACTGAAATGGCAATTAAAACAAGTGATCTTAATTCATGGTTCACCGTGAACGACACTATGCTTCCATATTTAGAGCTTGAACATTAGAATGTCAGCTGGTTCTACACACCCACCAGCATTCTTCTTGGGACGTGCCCAACATCGTTTTTCGGACTAGAAATATTAATTTATTACTGGGATAAAGTCTATAGGCATGCTAAATAAAGATGACGTAAACCCATTTCTTGTCATGTCATTTGTCTAGGTAAATACCAGCACCCTGAATGGAAGGGTTTTGATGTCATTGGTTGTACATCAGGTAGAAATCTCTGAACTTGCTTTGGGCATGGTAAGTAGGTTTCTGGTTTGAATAAAGCTTTTCAATGTAAAAGAACTGGCCACTGTCCGTTGAGCTGCCTGGATTTGGAGTTTGGGTTCTCAGGGGAGAACAAACGCTTTGAGTCAAGTAGCAATGTGGCAAGGATACATGGTATTTTTCCATCAGCCATTCATAAGGCTCGTGATGAGTCACGGCTCGGGTCTGAGCAGTGTGACTTTGTCCCTCCACTCTGGCTTGCACTAGGGACTTAATATATATTTTTTATCTCTGTGCCTTGACCTGTGAAAAGTAGACCATTATAGTGCCTCTTTCATGGGGTTGCTCTGTGCATCCATTCGGCAAATGTTTGGCGCGTTACCGCATGCTAGGCATGAGTTATGGCAAGGAAACAGTGGGTGCCTAGGACCCAGAAGGAGATAAGCCAGTTGTGCTTAAAGAGCACTTGGGGCAGGTGCCGTTATAGAGACTGGCCCTTTCTCTGTGAACTGAAGCATGAGAATAAGAGCCTTGTGAAACTTGTAAATTAAGCCTGCCATCAAGTCGATTTTTAATTCTCAGGCGTACACATTTTCCAAGTCCTTGCGGGAGCAGCCTCGTCTTTCTCCCAAGGAGTGACTGGCGGGTGTGGATGCCCAAGCTTCTGCAGGTCTGGGCCCCAAACTCCTTAGTAGTAAATAAGCTCAGAATCAAGCCAGCCATTCATGTCAGGTTGGTTTGAACTCATCGTCACCGATAACAGGGACGAGTAGAGTGGCCCCTCGGGGTTCTTCAAGGCTGTAATCTGAAAGCAGACCACCATTTCTCCCAGGCACTGCTGGGGGGTTCAAACCACCGACGTGACCAGCTCCAAGCCAAACTGCCACCGAGTGATGCCAACTCATCCTAAAGGACAGAGTGGAGCTGCCTCTGAGTTTCCGAGGCTCTAACTCTAGGAAGTAAGAGAGCCCTCTCTTCCTCTCAAGGAGCTGCTAATGATTTCAAACTGCTGATTTTGCCGCTAGCAGCCCAACGAGTAGCCACTGCGCCACCAGGACTCAACTAGTACATAACTCATGCATCAATTTGTTAAATGAGCTAATGACTCCAAAACAGTGCAGTTACTGTTGTGATCATACACACATGAAAGAGGGGGGTTAACTATTACAATTTGAAAAGGAGTTCAACAGTTTGAACATTGGCTTCTTAGAGGAAATCTGAGAAATTCCTGAATTTCCCTATCCCCACCTACTGAATTACCAAGGGTAGGTCCCTAGCCATTTGCATTTTAAGCCTACAGGTGATTCTGACACAGCTGAAGCGTGAGAACCGTAACAGCTCTAGAAGTGGTCTCAAACTCGGCAGCATGTCCAAGTCATCTGAAACGCAAATTCTGCCGTCGTGTCTGTTCTGATTCCTAGGACAGAGTAGAACTTCCCCTGTCAGTTTCTGAGACTGAAAATCTTTATAGGAATAGAAAGTCTCACCTTTCCACCGAGGGGTGGCTGGTGGTTTTGAACGGCTGCCCTTTTCTTTAGCAGCACAATGAGTAGCCAAGGCTCCGTGGGGTTAAGCTCCACAGAGTGACTTAATTGGAATGGAGTACAGCTTGGGCACCTGGATTGTGTTAGGTTCCCTGGTCATTCTAAATGGACAGCCAAGGCGGAGGACACTAGCTAGGAAAGCAGAAGGGCTTTCAGAATCACTAAGAAAAAGGGAAATTAAAATGACTTGTTTAAATGTCGCACCTGCTGTGCCCAGGGAACGAGGGTGGGCTCAGCTGGCCGCACACTTGGCCTTCAGGCATGCAGTAATATAGCCAGCAGGAAGAGCCACACATCAGGACGACCTCTGGGCTGTGGCCCTTACATACAGACCATCGCTTGTTTACAGCACATACTTGGGGTGCTAATTACACAGCTTCCCCAAGTATGAGCTTCTGCAGGTGTAAGTGATTAGACTTCATTTAACTCCATTTGGGGACGCCTGCCATCCCCTGCTTCCCACAAAACAAATTGCTCATGATTACATATTCGACTGGAAAACCTTTTAACATATTCCTTGCTAGGAGTTTAAATCAAAGAGCATGTAAAAAAAAGAAACGCACAGTTTAAAAACACCGCCCCCCTGGCTCCATCAAATGCTTAGCATGAGGGAGGAAAACTGTAGCCCTGTTAAGTACTTGTAGAGGTGCGTTTGCAAATGAGCTCTGCATTGTGTAGAACTCAGAGAAACACAAGTCTATAGAGATCTGCTTCCTTGGGTGGTGCAAATAGTTAAGCACTCAACTACTAATGGAAAGATTGGGTTCGACCCTACCCAGAGGCACCTCAGAAGACTGGCCTGTCGATCTGTCTCCGAGGGAATCCCTGTGGGGTGCTGTCGCGGAGCAGGTCCATGTGCTTTAGAGATGTGCGCGCATTAACGAGAAAGCTTGAAATATATCTGCATTTTGGCATAACAGAAGAGGGCAGTGCATTTTAACACTTTTAAAGGATTCTCTAATTTCCATGCCTGTTGTTTGTCTTTAGTGACATTGCCCCCGTCACTGAGTTTAATATCATAAACAATACGAAGCTACTGTAGCAGTTAACTTTATGTATTAGCCTCCAATTTTATATCTTAGACATTCATGGTCTGACATAGAGTTTTTACATGTTAATAAATTTTTTGATTTTCACGTACTATTCATTTAAAATGTTAAAAAAAAAACTGTCTTGGATGTACAGTCCACTACTGCTTTCTATGATCGTTTTGTGGTGCTTAAATTTTTTTTTTAATTCTTTGCTTTAACTCTTAGCTGTATTTTATCATTACTTGCATTGACTTTCTTTTCTTCACTTAGCAGAGCTCTAGTTATTTATACAAACCTTCAAGACTCATTTTTCTCTCTTTTATTTATTATTTTCTCATTATTCTTTCTCTTTCTCTCCAAATCATTTTCTCATACACTCTTTCCATTAGTGTCTCTCCTGTACCTCTCTCTCTGTCTTGCTATCTCATTCTATTTCTCTCAAGCATTCTACAACTTGCTAAAATTTAGCTTGTATGAGCTTTCATATTCTGACATAATCAGGCATCCTATTTTAAGACAAAACTACATTTTCTCTTAAAAAAAACTTGTGTGACCAGTCATATTTCTTTCTTGTATTTCATACCATGCTAATACTTTCAACTTGGTTCTTACGGTGATTAAGCATTTCAAGTGAATCCACAAAGTGGAACTTATCTGCCAAGGACAATTTTAAAATGCCCGTGGTCAACTTAGGATAATCATTCTTAGAAATGAAACACTTGGGAATTAGCTATAAAAGTAATGCAAAGTCAAAGTTAATTTAAACAAAACTTTAGTTAAGCGATAAAGGGTAATGTAACCAAGAGGAACTACTGAAACCCAAATGAAGACTGAGCATGATAGTGGGACAAGAGGAAAGTCAAAGGAAATAGAGGAAAGAGCTAGGAGGCAAAAGACATTTATAGAGGTCTAAATAAAGGTATGTGCATATGCAAATATATATATGAGGATGG